ACAGTGCATTAATGCAGGCACTATCAGTCTATAAAGCAGCATTATTCAGAGGTAAGCAGGTACCTGGCCATAGTTGTGCTGTGATCCAGGGGTTTGCAGATGTGCTCCAGTAGGTAGGATCACTCGCTGTATGGGTGTCCCCAAAAAACGTGCAATGCACCCAATGCACTGAATCCGTAACAGCTGACGAGGGGCGTTCATGATTATGACATCACAAACCACAGCAGATGAATTACAAATGTATTGAAATGAGCCTAGAAAGTAAACTACAGTCAAAATCATCATTACTATCAGAGAGTATTACTGCACTTTTCATGTAGAAATTGATGCAATTTTTTTTTACATAATTTTTGCAATGAATATCTATCTATCCATCCATCCATCCATCCATCCATCTAGTAATAAGTAGCTATATAATGCAATAATAATCACACTTATTACATCTGTCTGTCTATCTAGCTATCTATCTTGGAGCAATTAGTAATTATATAACGCAATAATCACATTATTGTTACAGCTATCTATCTATCTATCTATCTATCTATCTATCTATCTATCTATCTATCTATCTATCTATCTATCTATCTATCTATCTATCTATCTATCTATCTATCTATCTATCTATCTATCTATCTATCTATCTATCTATCTATCTATCTATCTATCTATCTATCTATCTATCTATCTATCTATCTATCTATCTATCTATCTATCTATCTATCTATCTATCTATCTATCTATCTATCTATCTATCTATCTATCTATCTATCTATCTATCTGTCTGTCTGTCTGTCTATCTAAGAGTAATTAGTAATATATAATGCAATATTAAACTTAAGAGTAATTAGTAATCATATAATGCAATGATAATCACTTTGTGACATTTACCATTGCATTTTTCTATAAATTTAATTATGCTATAAAATAAAATATTCATTCTATCTATCTATCTATCTATCTATCTGTCTGTCTTTCTGTCTGTCTGTCTATATCTATCTATCTATCTATCTATCTATCTATCTATCTATCTATCTATCTGTCTGTCTGTCTGTCTGTCTATCTAAGAGTAATTAGTAATATATAATGCAATATTAAACCTAAGAGTAATTAGTAATCATATAATGCAATGATAATCACTTTGTGACATTTACCATTGCATTTTTCTATAAATTTAATTATGCTATAAAATAAAATATTCATATATTGCAGAGAAACGCGAAATAATGCTTTATCAATACTCACGATCACTCAATCCACTCAGATCTCATTCTGCTGTCAAGTCTCCTTCAAACACGCACCAACCGGTTTTCTGGTGCGTCGTCTTTCAACTTCCCCCCTGAAACGCCACGAGGAAAGTTACGCTCACATTGGTTCCGGGCTGGATGTGTTATTCACGACCTCAGCGCTAGATGGCAGAGAGGTATTGGATGAAAACTACAGCTGTAGCTGTCATAAAGTTCTGTTTTTACTTTATCTTTAATGGTGAACTGAACTATACAGTACTAGCAACGGAGCGCGACTTATTTAAAACTGCCCGGTCCTGCAGATTTGCTTTATACAACATTAGGAAGATCAGGCCCTTTCTTTCAGAACATGCAACACAGCTCCTTGTTCAAGCTCTTGTTCTATCCAGGGTGTGTGTGTGTGTGTGTGTGTATAATATATATATGTATGTGTATATATATATATATATATATACACACACCTTGCTACGTGTACTGCGTTAGGCTAACCGAGACTTGTCTTGTTGCTCTTTTGTTCGTTTTGACTGCTTTTATTGTCCTCATTTGTAAGTCGCTTTGGATAAAAGCGTCTGCTAAATGACTAAATAAAATAAAAAAAATTAAAAATTCAGTTTCGCTTCGTGCAGTTAGAAGGGTAAATCCTTGAATCTCACGCTCTCGGTCTTACTTTACATGGACGCGGTGCCTGGAGTAAATCCAGCCCGTGAGATCTTGCCTCATGCGATAGATACACTCTCTGCTCATTTCCTGGATTCGTGATTTTACAGTTGCAACAACTTCTGCAATCCTCAGTGGCTCCTCCGCGTGTTTGCTGTGCGATTGTCCCGCCAGCTCTTGGCAATGCTGTTGACAGCATACATGGAGATATGCGTTGCGTTTCTGCCAATGGGATTTACTAGTATAATCCAGTATTTTACAGATCTGTAAGGAGTGTTTGACTCAGCCATGGATGGATCTACGAATAGTCTTGGTGAGTTTTGTTGATGTTTATGTCTATGTGATATGAATATAAACGATTAGCCTAACTTAGGAAGTTTATTGTTGTAGAACCAACTAACTAGTTGTAGCAAAACGCTTTGGCAACATTTCTGAGCATGAATAAGTTTTTTAACTTATTTAAGTATTTTGACGTATGTGGCAACTTCAGGGTGTACGTTAACAGTTACTGACACTATCAGACTTCCCTAGCAAAAATACATTATGGTAACCAAGTTTCGGACAACATATAGTTACGACAGTTATTGTTGTTGTATTATAACTAAGTTGGTATTATTTGATGGTAAAACAGCATTTTAAACAAGCCTAAACTGGTCTTAGCTAGTCTCCTAGCCTGGCCAGGCAAGCTGGTTTTTAGCTGGGAAGTCTACAGTAGATAGTTGAAAAGTGCACAAAACCCCTCTAAAACCAGACAACAGGCCTGACCAGGCAGAGAGACCAATACATTATTTTAGACTTAAGAGAGAGCACTGACATTGAAAATAAATTCAAATTAAAGAAAGATTCTAATAAATTCTTACCCATATTATTTTATTATGCTTTTTTAAAGTAACACTAGACGTAGAAACAGTGGTGTTTTGAAGGAAACTGTTAACCTGGTAAAAAAAAGTTTTTTGGGGGAGGTAAAAATTATTATTATTATTATTATTATGTTAGTCCTCCGGAGATATGCAGCCATTTGTGCACTATTGGATATCAAATTAATAAATAATCTATTGTTCTATACATTTTGATTGCATGTTTAAGTGTTAATATCATGCAGACTTCTATGACATACCTACAACAACAACAACAACGGCCACAGTTCATTGCGTCATTTTTGTAAAAAAAACAATAAATTCCAAGCAATCCAAGTTTCACTTCCTCTGTTGGCTTTCATAGTTATCTCATACTGTCTATTTCCCTACTTTAAATGTTTCTGACACTCTATGGCAAGCCATTTTAACAGTTATTTGTTAACACTGACTATTATCTTAAATAATATGTAATTAAAAAGTTTAGTTAGTTTAGTAATCCAAAACTGATAGCAACTCTTCAGCTACTCTTCGGTACTTACTATTAATTTTTTTTTTTATTACATGTTAATATTTATTTATTTTGCAAATTGCAACAAATAACTTTTTCAGTTGTTGCTGGTACATAGTCCAGTTTTACTAGTACTTATTTATTGGATACTAGTACCCTGTTATCCACCCTGATACTTGCTAGTAACATTTCAACCTCACTTGTTACAACTGTGCTTTTTCTTTTTATATATACTGACTAGTCAGGATGACCACTTTATAGTTTCATTAAACACTTTACTTGTATGATTAAAAATGTTTCTATTAACAATTGGAATCCATATTCAATCACTACTAGAAAAAAAAAACTGGAATAAATGCTAAAAATAACTATTAGTCAGATTGAAAACAATATAAGTAACCATTGAATTACTTACTAGTATTTTAAGCGTAAGTATTAGTTGCATGAAATATATACTAGTTATTTTTAATGAGTAAATGTTTACTCGGCTTGCCATGTGCTTGGTGTCTAGACAGCTTTCTTGGTTATAATGGGAGTGTTGTAGTTTGTGACATTGCTTGCAGTTTAGGTTTTCAGTGTTGAATGGGTGTCTGCAATGGTGACACCGCATGTGCATTTGTTTTGTTGGTAACATGCTGGGCCAGTGGAGAGCAGTAAATGTCATGCAGGAAGCCCTCTGGCATCAGGCTTCTACCGCAGATGCTTAATTTCTACCAGCTTGTCTTTCTGTGATGGGCTCTCTGTCTGTCTCAAGTGCCTCAAAGTCTGCATCATGTCAGAAGAGATGATTGCCAAAAATGTCAGATAACTGGGGCAATCACAATGATTGGCAAGTTGACACTGTGTCGAAGTGTTTGGTTTTCCACATGTGCTTTAAAAGTGTGTTACCGTGGAAGCAGTTTGTAAATGCATAGATTTTAGGTTTGAAATTTTCGATGAGATGCAACTTATGCTACTGATGCAAGGAACTTGAATCAGAATATTCAATTATTAAAGAATTAGTTTAGATTTACATAGTGATCTGTTTTAAATGGAACTTTGTCATGCTTTCTGAAACCTTGATATATGAATGTAAATAGTTTTGCATAGGCTTCCAAATCATGTGGAGACGTGTCAAAATTACATTTCTTTGACCTTGACAGCATTTTGAAACTCCTACATACACGCACAAAAAAAAATAGCTGTGGAAAAAAGTTTCACTCAGAAATTGCCAGTAGAGTTTTACAAAGAAATTGCAAGTAACACGTTGAATTAAAGGTGAAACTTTGAAGTAGAAAAACGGCAATGGTGTTTTCTTGTAAAACGCACTCCAATAATCTTTGTTTCATTTAAAACTTTTTTAAAAAATCATTTTTTACAGTGTAGGTTGTGTACAGAGTTTGTCGGACCATTTTCAAAAATCTTAAGCTTTGAAAGATGTCAAACACATGAGTTATTCTTTCTCGCTGTGAGTTTCTCGCTAGACTTTTTTGTCTTTATGCATGTTTAATGCTTAAGTTTGTGGCATGTTTTGAGAGCATAACAATGTTTCTTCATAACTCACTTGACTTGACTTCATAACAGAAACAGATCTGAATCGGTTTGGATGAAAAATTTGTTATGGAAAATTCGTATCGACTCGGTCTCATTTGTTTCTGTTTATCCTGTAGAGTCAAATAAATGTAACTGACGAAAATGTTTGGT